CTAATGAGAAGTAAGGACTCACTGGAGAAGAGCCTCATGCTGGGAAAGATGGAGGGCAATAGAAGAAGGGGACGACAGAGAATGAGGGGGCTGGATGGAGTCACTGAAGTAGTAGGCGTGAGCTTAAATGGACTCCAGAAGATGGTAGAGGACAGGAAGGCCTGGAGGAACGTTGTCTATGGGGTCACGATAGGTCGGACACGACCGCAACTAACAACAAAAATAGAGAGCAAACCACACTCTCTTCTAGCACTGATGATGCTACCTAGTTAGGTTAATGAAATGTCTGCAAGAAAACAACAACAAGCTCAAGGACCTCACAATTCAACCCTGAGCTACATACATTCTCTTCTATTTTCCAAAGCGCCTGAAGGCAGGACAAGAAGCAACGGATGGAAACTAACCAAGGAGAGAACCAACCTAGAACTCAGGAGAAACTTCCTGACAGTGAGAACAATTAACCAGTGGAACAACCTGCCTCCAGAAGCGGTGAATGCTCCAACACTGGAAGTTTTTAAGAAGAAACTGGACAGCCATTTGTCCAAAATGGTATAGGGTTACCTGCCTGAGCAGGGGGTTGGACTTGATGACCTCCAAGGTCCCTTCAAACTTTATTATTATTATTATTATTGTTGTCGTTGTTGTTGTTGTTGTCATTGTTATATTATAATAAAAGAGCTAAAGGCGGTTGCAACGGTGCAACTAAACCAGTAATTAAGGTATCCTGTTACCATGAGTGATAAAGATGATTTGAATTAATAATTGCTTTCCTCCCAAGTTGTTTATCTGTTACGATCGATCCCACAAGTAGATCACTGTACACTTTTCCTTATGACACCCAAAACAGTAACTGCAGAAAATTTCTTGGAAACAGCTAAACATTTGTTTCCATTTTTCTGTTTGTCCACATCATAAGAAACAAAGACAGCCATAGTTTGCAAGCCAGCTCATTACCTCTATTAATGACTAGGGACAGAGGAAACAAGTACAATTAAGAATTAAACTACAGTTCTGATAACAGCAGTACCTAACATGAAAAAAAAACATTGAGAACTATCAGTGGTACAAACTGTTGTTCAAGACAATATTGCTTGTAATGCATTTTACATTGCCAGCCTCTACAATCCCACAAAATTTCCCAAGAGCAATGGAATGTATTTATGAAAGAAATAAATACATTTGTCTTCTGTTTGCTATCATATTTTGCATTGTCTTATTGGGTTTTGAGATATTTAATTAGGATGGGCATCCAGGAAATTCATGTGCTTTGACAATACAAATATCCCATGAGCTATTTGGCAGCTGGGTGGGTGGAATCATGGCCTGTCAATCAAAATCCAAGCATCTGCCCTTTTATGCAAACAAATGAGCTGATTTTGCACCACAGAAATATACAACCTCGTTCTGTATTGCAGACACAGAAGGATATTCATGAATTCTCAAGCAAACTTAATACAAATGCTGATATTTGGACCTTGCAAATACTTTGAAAGATGAGATCTGGAAGAGGTGAGACAATCCCCAAACCATCTTTTTCTTAATCACTTACATCCCAGCTGAGCAACTGTAAATTATTCTATCGACTAATAAGTTTCCAACTTATTTCTGTTCACTTATCCTATGTTGTGGGGAGAGATTTGTATCCTTAATCCGTGCTTCTCCTAACTCACAAAACATGCACCCACACAATTTTATGATGTGTGTGAAAACAGACCGTGTGGCTAGCTGTCCATCATATATCTACCACTCCACTGTTGTAAGTTCTATATTTTTCATCCAACATATTTTTCAATGAGCCCTTACAAACCACTTTTTCGGGGATCATTAAAGCAGCCGTCTCTTTCACTAGCCTTGTCCAGCTGTTTCAGAAGATGCTGTTGGCCATCTCTGTAACCCAAAACCCCCTTTTCTGGGGGTGACATAGGAAGGGGAGAGTTCAGGTAGTCCTTGACTCACGACCACCACTGAGACCAAAAATTCACGTTCTTAAGCGAGAAATTTGTTCAGTGAATTTTGTCCCACTTTACGACCTTTCTTGCCACAGTTGTTAAGGGAATCGCTACAATTGTTAAGGTAGCAACCCGGTTGTTAAGCGAATCTGCCTTCCCCATTGACTTTGCTTGTCAGTAGGTCACAAAAGGGGGTCACATGATCCCCGGAACACTGTAACGGTCATAAATATGAGTCAGTTGCCCAGCATCTGAATTTTGATCATGTGACCATGAGGAGGCTGCGACGGTCCTAAGTGTGAAAAATGGTCATCGGCCACTTTTTTCAGTGCCGTTGTAACTTTGAACGGTCACTAAATGAACCGTTATAAGTTGAGGGCTCTCTGTAATGTGGTCGTGCATGCCCCCAGTTTGGCCAGACTTCTGAAGCAGCTACACAAACCAAAAGATGTGGCTGCTTTAAACCTTCATAAATGCTTTGTACACACTCTTCATGTCTTTTACCTCTGCACGTTTGAAGAACTGGCACAGCTTTAACAAATATAAATACACAAAATATGTTAACGGAATGTGAAGATGAAAGTTGAAGACTAAAGTGCAATTCGGCATCCATTTCAGAATCAAGACAAGACAACACGAGCCTTTACTTACCACCAAAGCTGTCGATCTGTTACTCAGGAGCTTCTCAATGTCTTGAGCAGCACTTTCCACTAACTGCCGGGCGTTGTTGGCTTCCACTGTGTATAAGTGTTTGTTACGCTGATAGATCTGAAGAAGGAAACAAAACAGGAGACCTGAATAATAAGAATAAGAATAATAAAGTTCTGTAGAGAAGATAGATTAATGCAGAGTTTCTCAGCCTTGGCAACTGCTAAGCTGTTAAGTGAGCTTTGCCCCATTGTACGACTTTTCTTGACACAGCTGTTAAGTGAATCTCTGCAGTTATTAAGTCAGTAACACGGTTGTTAAGTGAATCTGCCTTCCCCATGGACTGCTTGTCAGAAGGTCACAAAAGAGGATCACATGAGTCTGGGACACTGCAACTGTCATAAATATGAGTCAGTTACCAAGTTCTGAATTTGGATGGGTGTGTTGCAATGGTTATTATAAGAGCCGAGGTGGCGCAGCAGTTAGAGTGCAGTACCGCAGGCCACTTTAGCTGACTGTGTTCAGCAGGTCAGCGGGATAGGTAAAATGAGGACCCAGATTGTTGGAGGCAACGTAAATATATATATACATTGCTTACTGGTGTACACCGCTTAGAGAGTGCTTGCACTTAAAGCGGCATATAAGTCTCATAAATAAATAAATAAAATAAAATATTAGTGTGAAAAAGTCATAAGTCATTGTTTTTGGTGCTGGTGTAACTTCCAACTGCCTCTAAACAAATAGTTGTAAGTTGAGGAAGACCTGTATTCATAGAATGAAGCAAGAGTAAGCATACCTGATAATCTGACAAAACAGGATCTATTATGTCATCTTTGTTCGTGTGTTGAGGGCACTCAACACTCAAAAGCCTGGAGAAGGTCTTACCACAAACAATAAATCCATTTTTTATTATGGTCACAGACCAAAGTTAGTTCTATAGCAGGGGTGTCAAACTCAATTTCATTGAGAGCCGCATCAGCATTGCAGTTGCCCTTGGGGGGGTTGGGGTTGGCCAGGGTGTGTGTGGCCTACTGGGTGGGCATAGATGGAGTGGGTATGGCCTACTGGGTGGGTATGGCCAGCTCTACATCGTTCTCCCCATTGCCTGCTGAAACCCCTCCCCCGGAGCCCATGAAGCCAGATATGTGAAGTAGGTGAGGGCCATTTGCTGGCCACTTTCAGGGATGGTGCATTTCTTCATTCCTCACAAAAGGTGACACCTCCCCAGCATGCACCCAGGGGGCGGGGCCAACACGGCAGGGGCTGGTTCCTCGCTGTTTCCAGACGGCCTTGTGGAGCTAAGACTGAATGCGTTTCAGCATAGAGGGTCACCACAAAATTGTACATTGGCTCCCGGCCAGCCTGGGCCAGGGCCAAGGCAGTGGGGGCCATTCCCTCACTGTTTCCAGGATGGCTTCACGGGCCACATGAAACTACTTCGCGGGCTGCATCCGGTCCCCGGGCCTTGTGTTTGACATGTCTGCTCTATAGGCTCCTTCAGCAAATTTAAGGCCTTGAAAATCAGAATTTTAAATCTCAAAAAAGAGGGAGCTCTAACTCTTGCTAAATTACAGTTTTCAGCACTCCTGAGTGGCATTCCTACCGCTGAGGAATCTGATGTTGTAATTAGCAATGGTCAAACCCTTTCTATTTTAAAGAACACAAAATGTACCCAGTACAGAGATGGATTCCTGCATCTTCATGGCAACCAAAATAATGGCCTTTTAGAAAAGGTTTGGGAGAAAACTAGGCTTAGATTTATCTCTGGATAGTACCCTTTGTATATCATTTTCTAAAGCAGAATTCTTGCTTGGGGCTTAGTCTATAAACAGACTGTATAGAAGGTTGTATGAGATGACATGAAGGATTTAAGCCATAGTATTGTTATATCTTCTTGGGCTCCAAGATCACCACAGACGGGGACTGCAGCCAAGAAATTGCTTGCTCCCGGGGAGGAAAGCTATGGCAAATCTAGACAGCATACTAAAAAGCAGAGACATCACCCTGCCAACAAAAGTGCGTATAGTCAAGGCCATGGTTTTCCCAGTTGCAATGTATGGCTGTGAAAGTTGAACCATAAGAAAGGCAAAGATTTGAGGTCTTTGAACTATGGTGATGGAGAAGACTCCTGTGAGTCCCCTGGACTGCAAGGTGATCAAACCGGTCTGTCCTAGAGGAGATCAACCCCGACTGCTCTTTAGAAGGCCAGATCCTGAAGATGAAACTCAAGTATTTTGGCCACCTAATGAGAAGTAAGGACTCACTGGAGAAGAGCCTAATTCTGGGAAAGATTGAGGGCAAGAGAAGAAGGGGACAACAGAGAATGAGGTGGCTGGATGGAGTCACTAAAGCAGTAGGCATGAGCTTAAATGGACTCCAGGAGATGATAGAGGACAGGAAGGCCTGGAGGAACATTGGCCATGGAGTCGTGATGGGTCGGACATGACTTCGCAACTAACAACAACATTGTTATATCAGGAGGCATGATGGCTCAGTGGTTAAAGATACTGAGCTTGTCAGCTGGAAAGTTCGAGACCCAAGCACCACATGATGGGTGAGCTCCTGTTTCTTGCCTCAGTTCCTGCCTACCTAAGTAGTTCGAAAGCATGCAAATGCGAGTAGAGAAATAGGTACCACTTTGGTGGGAAGGTAACAGCATTCCGCGCACCTTTGGCATATAGTCATACTGGCCACATGAACAGAGATAATGTCTTCAGACAACACTGGCTTTCTGGAGATGAGCACTGTGCCCTAGAGTCAGACACAACTGGACATTATTGTCGTACCATGAACAGGAATCTCTTTGACAGAGATTGTGAACCTTTGTTGAGCAATGCCATTAAGACGACATGAAGGAACAACATTGTTGGGACGCATCGAAGCAACAAATTAATTACAAGTAAAATGCATTGCCTCCTTGAGAAATCTATGGGCAAGGTCTGAAGAAAAAGGAAACAATCGAATCAATTATAATGAATAGGTGCTTTATTACCGACGTCACCCAGATCTATAACAATATCTTAAGGCGAAGTGAACGAGCAAGAAAAAAATGTATTGATGAAGTCAACAGATGGCATGATTTTCTATAGGCATTGTGCTTCTGCTAAGTGGGTGTCACATTGTCTTATGAGAAGCCAGCCCAGGCAGCACAAACAGAGAAAGGTCCAACATTAATTCATTGGACAACTTCCAATGCTTCTGGCATTACACATTTCACAAAGAAAAAAATGACTTGATTTGGCAACTATCAATATATCCCAACGCCAGCGCATCTGAATTGTTTTATTGTGGCTTTGTATTTTGGGGACATAAATAGTTCTGTTCATCAATTCTTTGATAATATGTTAATAAAGGTGGAATCAGCATGGGTAGTAAATGTATTTATAAAATGCTATAACAGAATAACAGAAGAGTTGGAAGGGATCTTGGGGGATCTTCTAGTCCAACCCCCTGCTAAAACAAGAGATCTTATACCCGTGGTGGCAAACCTATGGTACATGTGCCATAGATGGCACACAGAGCCCTTTCTGTGGGCACACGCGCCGTTGCCCCAGTCCTAGTCCTTCAGCTGGGTTTTATAAAACCTTTTCGCTTTAGGCCTCCACCATCATGTGCAAAAAAAAAAAGGTTCAATCAATAAATCAATTTCAACTTCTCGCAAGAAAAAAAGATCTCGCAAAGTTGGAATTGATTGATTGAACTTTTTAGTCCCACAAGTCTGCCGTTACCACCGCAGCTACGCCCACCCACTGGGCCATGCCCACCCAATGGGCCACGCCCACCCAATGGGCCATGCCTACCCAGCACCTGACGATACATAAGTGGGTTTTGGGTTGCAGTTTGGGCACTCGGTCTCTAAAAGGTTCGCCATCACTGTCCTATACCATTCGACACAAGTGGCTATCCAATCTCTTCTTAAAAGCCTTCACTGATGGAGCACCCACAACTTCTGGGGGCAAGCCGTTCCACTGATTAATTGTTCTCACCGTCAACGGCCACAACTTTGCAAATAAAAGTGGTCTGAACATTGTGGAAATTTCAGTTCCATCAGAGCGGTGGGTCCTGTAGCTTTTATGTATTCGTTAAAGTTAGTGAATTTGCGATACCTCAATTCAAAAACTATTGCAGTATAAGGCATCATTTGGGCTAGCTCAAGGGTACAAACAGACAAACAGATAATCACCATGAGAGTTTTTGTATTATATACATATAATTACAGAGAATATTAGGAATGTTAGTAATGTTAAGGTTTTTCAAAATACCTGGTCTTTCATTTATGGAAAGAACAATAAATAAATCTTAAAATCAAATAAAGCCTATCATTTCATGATTTTTTTTAAAAAAAAAAGAATATGCTTTAGTACTGGGCATACTTACTGTAATACTCATATAATACTGTATCAAAAAGATATGTCATATATTTTGTCTATAATATATATATGATTTGTCTATGTTGCCTATAATATATATATAACATCTTATATGTGATATATACAGTAATTCTCGACTTATAACAGTTCATTTAGTGACCGTTCGAAATTACAACAGCACTGAAAAAAGTGACTTATGACCATTTTTCACACTTATGACCATTGCAGCATCCCCAGGATGATCAAAATTCAGACACTTGGCAACTGGTTCATATTTATGACAGTCGCAGTGTCCCAGGGTTACGTGATCACCTTTTGTGAGCTTCTGACAAGCCAAGATTCACTTAACCAGCTTGTTACTGAACAATTGCAATGGGTCACTTAACAAGGAAGGCAAGCAAGGTTATAAAATGGGGCAAAACTCATTTAACAATTGTCTCACTTAGCAACATAAATTTGGGGCTCATTTGTGGTCATACGTTGAGGACTACCTGCACAATATTGTGTATATTTTATTTGTTTTTATTTATTTGAATTAAATGTATTTGCCACCCATCTCAATCTCAAAGTGATAGCAATAAATTTGATTTGTGCTAGATAACAAATGGGTTTATTCAGTGCTAGAGGCAGAATCAAAAATGAGCTTATGCGGTTTTAGTTTTAACTAAGCATTCACAAAAATCCAGACCTGTTGGCTTTTTGTTCACATGAATTTGCACCTTGACTTAAAAATTGCAGGGAAAGAAGCCTGGCTCCTGGAACTGCTAAGAATAAATCTTCCGTCTGAATTATTATTCATGTGTTTTCTCGGCTGACTGAATTAATGAAGGATCGTGTGGTACCAAGCATTGTACGTACATCATCCTGTACATAAAGAAAGTCACTGTTTGATAAGGTTCATGAAATGAGTCTCTGAAAATGTTTGAAACTGTGTGCTGATTTATTATGACGCAGGCAAAGAATCACAGAAGAACCATCTGAATGACATCTATTTCTAATTCTGACATCTAATGGAATTTCATAAAAACAGCAATAGTGTTAAGATATTTAATTTAATGGCTGAAAGAATAAAGTGTATAATGAGCCCCAACACACAGCTGGAGTTGATTGAGTGGAGAATGTAGGCTCCTGCTTGAGGCAATCTACATTATGATTGGCTGCTGCCTTTTTTTCTTCTGCTCTGTACACTTTTTGATTTACCTCATGATGTTCCTGACTATCTTGTCTGCTTATGCATGAAGCAATCTATGCTGTGATTGGTTGCTGTGGGTGTAAAGGGGGAGTTTCCCTTTTTTCCTGCCTTTTTTCTTCTCTGTGCTCTGTACACTTTTGGATTTACTTCATGACTATCTTATCTGCTCAATCTACCTTATGATTGGTTGCAATCTACCTTATGATTGGTTGCTAGGTGTAAAGGGAGAGTTTCCCTTTTTTCCTGCCTTTTTGCTTCTCTGTGCTCTGTACACTTTTGGATTTACCTCATGACTACCTTATTTGCTCATGCTTGAGGCAATCTACGTTATGATTGGTTGCTAGGTATAAAGGGGGAGTTTCCCTTTTTCCTGCCTTTTTTCTTCTCTGTGCTCTGTACATTTTTTGATTTACCTCATGACTATCTTTTCTGCTCATGCATGAGGCAATCTACGTTATGATTGGTTGCTGGGTATAAAGGAGGAGTTTCCCTTTTTTCCCCAACTTTTTCTTCTCTGTGCTCTATATGCTGTTCTGTGATTTACCTGACGATTTACCACATGGTATATTAGCATCTCTTGACTTCATTGGGACACCGGCTGTGCAATTCCTTGACAAATAGGATTCCCTGCTCCTATTTTTAGCGGCTCAGTTACCCTAACAGACTTAATAAAATGTGACAAAGTACCCTGCAGAAAATTAATTGATAGTGAAGTCTACGCAATCAACGCTCCACCATAAAATTATACAGAGATATTAAAATAAAAACCCCTTTGAATAACGCTTGTCTAGCCAGGGCCTTTATTGAGCATGAAGGTTTAATTATTTGCGCATTGTAGACAGCGCACGTTTGCTAATTAGATCAGAAAAACACTGCAGTTGACAAGGCACACTTAATGGTCAGTTAATGAGCCACTCGGAGCAATGAGTAATTCGTATATACAGAGAAACATGTCAAATGCACCTAGAAGTTAGACCCACTTTGGCAGGAGAAAGATAAAGAAACTTAGTTGAAGCTACACACAATGGCAAAATACAAAATTTTATATTTAAAGACAATATCTATGGAGATTCCCAGTCACGGTTGTCCCAAAGGTGCTTTTGAAAGAACCAACTGAACGTTCTTTGTTTTTCCTTGAAGACATTTCGTTTCTCATCCAACAAGCTTCTTCAGTTCTGACTGAATGGTGGAGGATGGAAGGATGTATATTCCTTGCAGTCATCTGGTTATTAGCACTCCTTCTGAGGGTTGTTGAGGCCATACCTGTGTTCCGCAACACAGTCCTTTAAGTAGTTCTAAGAGGGTTACACGCCCATTTGTCCTATTCGGGTGACGCTGAGGGCACAGATAGACCTCCAAGTGGCCTCAACAACTCACAGAAAGAGCACTAACGACCAGATGACTGGAAGCGATATAAATCCTTCTATCCTCCACCATTCAGTCTGAACCAAAGAAGCTTCACATGATCGAAAGAGGAATGTACAGCTAGTCCTTGACTTGTGACCACAATTTTGAACAGCCACTAAGTGAATTGTAAGTTGAGAACTACCTGTAAAACAATCCTTTGTTTCATTTAAGACAGGGGTTCTCAACCTTGGCAACTTTAAGACTTGTGGACTTCTGGGAGTTGAAGTCCACAAGCCTTAAAGTTGCCAAGGTTGAGAACCGCTGATTTAAGAGAAGGACGTTCGTAAAATTCATCTATTATGCCAATGAGTGCCCCTCATTGCTAAAGGAAAGCCCAAGTAGAACCACTTACTTGAACGAGTTCATCCACCCCACTGGCTGTTCTCACAAGCCGCACGAGGTCTTCCTGCATCATGTCCACCCACCGTTTTATCCTACAGAAATGGAAGAGAAAGAGAAGAAAGAGGGCTCATCAGATCAGTGGCGCACAGCTAGGAAGATCAGAGGGATGCAGAAGGCCTGACAGATTATTTTCCATGGGGGGGCAGAGGCTGACTCAAGAGGTTCCTTTGATAGTGCTGGGAAGCTGCTCTGGTCCCTTTTTTCTATCCCATTCTTCTTCTGCTTGCTCGGTATCTCCTGTAAAAACTTGGCACGTTTGGATGTGAGCAAATCTGCATTTTTAGATTCGGGCAAATTTCTTTTCCTAGTAGACTAAAGGCAGCAAAATATTGTCTATCAGCTGTAAGAAAATGGCAGTGAATAGTCAAAACAAATTTATTAAAAATTTCTTCCTTCTTTCCTTCCTTCCTTCTCACAGCTTTCCTTTCCTTTCTTTTCTTTTTCCCTTTCTCATTTTTCTTCCTTCTTTTTCCTTTCTTTTCCCTCATTCCTTTTCTTCCCACTTCTCCATCCTTCCTTCTTTCCTTCCTTCCTTCCATCCATCCTTCCTTCCTTCCTTCCTTCCATCCATCCTTCCTTCCTTCCTCCACAGCCTTGTTTCCTGCTTTTTTCCTTTCCCATTTTCCTTCCTTTTTTCCTCTCTTTTCCCTCCTTCCTTTTCTTCCCCTTTTTTCTTCCTTTCCTTCCTTTTCTTCCTTTCCTTCCTCCCTCCTTCCATTCCCTCCCTCCCTTCCTTCCTTCCTTCCTTCCTTCCTTTCCCTTATCACTATATTAATAAATTACAAGAGGGTTTTTATATATATACTGGCCTAAGGCCATAATTAAGTTACCTTCTTTTCATATTTCAAATTCATGCCCAAGTAGAAGGTGTTTTATTTGACGTGTGGAACATATTCAGTATCTCCCTTGCTTTTATTTTGCTTTCTTCTTCTCTCTCCTTTGCCACCTTTTAAGATCAGAGAAGCAGAAAACCTTCTGCAGCCTTTGAATTCTTTACTCTTTTTTTTACTTTCTTTACTTTTTTACTTAACAGCCTCTTGGGATCTCTTCTGAGAGCCCCCATCTGATCTGAGCGATCCAGTGATTGAAAATTATTCAAGCAGTTTCTTTTCTGTGCATGTGAAAAGGAGCTAAGCTCAGCGGTACCCACAAGGGGTAGGTCAAAAGCAGAAAGATCAAAATCAAACCAATTACTTTTACAGTAATTGGCCAAAAAAAAAAAAAAAGGAATTCCAGTTTTTAAACTGCAAACAATAAAGTGATTTCTGCATTTACCAATTCCTCACTGCAAGAATGCCCAGGTATTGACATTGGTTTAAATCAGAAAATAGTGCCTCTGTGTAAATCGTGGCCAGAAACTGATTAATTTATTCCATCTAATAAATAAACTAACAGCCAGGAAGCCCAAGACTCCACCTCATCCTAATTCAGCAGAGGAAATAAAATGATGTTATTTTCACAAATGAAGATAAATGAGGCCTGAGTCACTGGTAAGGGAAGAGCAAGCAATTTTAGCGTTAATGGCAGCATAAATTTTGACTTTCTTTTCACCCATTCTAGAACAGAGCTGGGAGCCAAAGATTACAGGTAGTCCTCAACTTACGACAGTTTGTTTACTGACCGTTCAACATTACAACGGCACTGATAAAAGTGACTTATGACCGCTTTTCGTACTTGTGACCCTTGCCGCATCCCAATGGTCGTGTGATTTACATTCAGATGCTTAACAACTGGTCCCTATTTATGACGGTGTCCCGGGGTCACGTGATCCATTTTCACAACCTTCTGACCAGCAATTTAAGAACCGTATTGCTAACTTAACAACTGCAGTGATGCACTTAGCAGCTGTGTCGAGAAAAGTCGTAAAATGGGACAAAACTCACTTCACAAATGTCTCACTTTGCAACATAAAATTCTGAGCTCGGCTGCAGTCTTAATTCGAGGATTGCCTGTACTAGAGAATAATTGAAACAACTTAGAATTGGCTAGAGCAGGAGAGCAGCCAGCTGCAAACAGCTGCCTTAGATGCAAACAGGAAGCTGTCCGTCCAGAACATGTTGTAAGATCTTCCACAGGAAGACAACAGAATAAGATCCCGATGGTGTTGATTTTTGCAGGCTCACTGCTTCGGCCTCTTGCTTTGCCGTGAAAAGCATGCATAATGCACGAGTCAAGGATGGGCACAGCTTGAAGAAAAAATAAATAAATTCACAAAGAAAGAGAGAGAGAGAGAGAGAGAGAGAGAGAGAGAGAGAGAGAGAGAGAGAGAGAGAAAGAGAGAGAGAGACATTATAGGCATCAGGATTATATCTGCAATGATTAGAAGCAAGGGTTTCCCTTGTGTATTATGTAACACAAGCGTTGTAGGAAGAAAAGATTGAATCAGCATGTAAAAAACAAGCAGAGAGAGATGGAGGGAAAAAGGATCACTTTACAACAAGGGTGGGCACTTGTCCCCATCAGTCTCCATCGGCTCCCTGAAGCCCCTTAATATGGGACATTTAGGGTTAAACTTCAAAAGTGAAATTTTGATGCTAAAACCAAGGTGGAAATGATGGTACATTTTCTGCATAGGGTGCAAACAACCGCCCAGTAAAGCCTTCTCCAGAGCCCTAAATCTTTAAAAACTGGGGGAGGGGGAATGAGGGCCTAGCAATCATTTTGGGGGGAGGGGTTAGGCTTCACTCAGGCAAATTGTGCAAGTAGATGGGTGACAGAAAGAGATCTTTTGATCAAGTTGCTTTATTGCTGCAATAAATTTCCTATTCAGGGGTAGGCAACCTTGGCTCTCATGCTTTGTCATAGGTTGACAGGGGTTAATCCTTCAACCAGAACAGCAAGGGTCCTTGTGCACTGTTACTGTGATGGACCACTCTGATCTCTTGCCGTTGCCCACTTTAGTCCTCAGAGGTGACCTCCTGCAGATTATCAGCTTGTTAGGAGGCTGAGCTGGACCATAATCCAGAAAATGTGTCCTACATGTGACTATAAAGATTCTCAATCATCCAGGTCAGGGATGGCGAACCTTTTAGAGACCAAGTGCCCAAAACCCGCCCCCCACCCCCGTCCCTGCTCTGCTCTGTCCACTGGGCCACCCACCACCTCCACAGCCCACCACAAATCACCCAAGTGCCATGGCGGCCACGCCTTCTGCCCATGCCCCTCAGCATCATCTGCACGCGATGGGGCGCAAGACAGATCTTGTCCCCGCTGCCCAGCTACCATGTCCTTGGCTGCGCTGCTTCACGTGGGCCTCACCCAGGGGCGACTCTTCTCTGGGGGGGCTGCTGGTGAGGAGGGAGCCATGGGAGGAGGCGGGGCTGGGGAGACGGTGCGTGTGCCCCCAGAGACGGTTCCGAGTGCCGCCTCTGGCATTTGTGCCATAGGTTCGCCACAACAATCCAGGTCATTGTTTTCCCAAAGGTGCATTTTCTCAAAGGCAACTAGACATTCTTCCCCCCTCCTCTTTTGAAAACATTTCACTTCTCACTCAAGAAGTTCTCAGAACTAAAGCAGCTTCTTGGGTGAGACGTGAAATGTTTTCAAAGGGGGGAAAAACCCAAGAGAATCCAGTTGCAAGACACCCAAACACCTTTGGCTGTCCTACACGTGAAATTTCTCTGGCACTTTTCCCCAGCAAGAATCTTATAATCCTCTTTGACAGTATGCTGTTGATTGGGCACTGCCACGGTGAACCTAGATCAGTGGTTCTCAACCTTTTTAATGCCGCGACCCCCAACCGGTTGTAAGTCGAGGACTACTCAATCAGTCGTAAGTCGAGGACTACTCAACTGGTGCAGCACCGTTTGCAGAATGGGACTTTTGGCGGGCTCAGCAGGGCAAAGACAGCCTGGACAATTCCTATTGGCTTTTGAAAGCCAATTCAAGAGAGTCTATTTTGTTAGCTTTCAAAAGCCAATAGAATAAAAGGGAGTAGCACAGCTAAGGAAAAGGGGGGAAAAATGGCGGACTGCATTGTTTGGCGACGCCCATGAAATAGTCGTTCGACCCTAAATGGGGTCCCGACCCACAGGTTGAGAACCGCTGGCCTAGATGGATGCCCACCACGCTTTATCTTCTAAAGAACATTGAGAAAATTCCAGAAATATCTATGGTTCTTTTTCAAAACTGTCCATGGTTTGGTGAAAAGGGAACTTCCAAACTCACATAGAATGTCATTTTAGTGGTCCAGCCGTTACCTTTTCAACGATAAAGACTTATCAATAAAGCAGGTGATGATTTGTCTGTTCTTCCCCCACTGTGGTAGGCAAGAGAAGAAGTAATGGATGGAAACTAATCAAGGAGAGAAATTTCCTGGCAGTGAGAGCAATTAACCAGTGGAACAACTTGCCTCCAGAGGTTGTGGGTGATCCATCACTGGAGGCTTTTAAGAAGAGACTGGACAACCATTTGTCTGAAATGATATAGGATTTCCTGTCTGAGCAGGGGGCTGGACTAGATGACCTCTGAGCTCATTTCCAACTCTGTTATTCTTGTATTCTGAGGTCAGCCAATGTATTCAAAACAATTTCCATTTACAACAGGTTATTTCCATTTTCAGCACTGTTGTTTTAAGTGGGCTTTAAGTCCCCTAGTCAAAGTCCACGTCCATTATATTAATCCTTCCATTCTATTTTTCCTCATTAAATTAATACCTGCATATGCCAAGTACAAAATAATTTGCATCATGTACTGTCATAAATATAGGAGGCGACAGGCATTGTCAGAAAAAAAATTGCTATTTAAGCAATTTGAGAAGAGGACCATGATGAAGCAGTTAAATGAAAATTATCTCCTATTAAAAAAAAATTCAGGACTTAATTGAGGCAAATTTTGCTGCTTCTGATTGGTTCCTGGAGGTGTTTCATTAAAAAGCTCTTAAAACCAGTTATCTACGTGCTGCTAATATGAGGAAAATTAATCAGCCACTAATCTGGCTCTTATTGCTATGCTTTGAAATCCACTTATTACTCCTCATATTTAAGCCTCTGGAAATAATTCGTGTACAATAATTCTGACGGTGGCGTTTCAG